TGGAGGCGGCAGCATTGTGGAGCTTGCGGCGGGTGGTCGCGGAGAGGGGAGGGAGCCAGGGGCCCTCGTGAGCACCTCAAGCGTTCACCGGGAAGAGACGCGCGCAACCATTGAGTGGCAAGGTGAGCCAGGACTCAGAGGGCAGAGTCACTAAGAGCCCGCGATTGCCTCGAAATGGGTAAGCGCTTGTTACTGCCGAAACAATATTATTAAGATAATTCACATGTAAGTCATTAATGTATTAGGGCACTGAATCATTTTTATATTGGGGACTACTACGTGCTAACCACACATACCCCCTTAATCCAGGTAGGGGCGTCGCCGGTAGGCCTGAGCCTTAGGCATTCACGGGCTGTCGCAAAAAGTACATACATACATCAGTTTATATTATTAACTCTTAACAGTTTTTGTAGTTCAAACAAACTCCATACTCGCAAAATGAAACTAGTGATGCTTCAACATGGCATAGATGTTATCTTAAATTATTAACGATTACAAAAAGTAAAATTCAATATATTTCAATCATGATAATACCGTGCTGAACAACAACAATTTATTAATCTCAATGACATCCAACAGCATTTCTTGCCATACCCACAATGTTTGGAATTATCTGTAGCATTAAAATATTTTATTCTCGCTCTCATTAATGAATAATTCTCTCAAAAGTAAATAATTTTACGGAAAATGTACGGTTTGATTTTTCATATTTTATCTATTTGCACAATAGTTAAGTTATCTGTCCTGTAAAATACACACGAATTCATTGTGCCATATCAGTAAACACGTAATTTTTTTCCTGATATTCTCAATTTTCCTGACTCTTAATAGTTATATTGATTTGAGATATTTATAATATCAAAGAAAGCAAAACCACCTTTCGTTTACAAATTTTCGGAGCGACATTTGGAGGCGTTTTTTGAGAGCATGCAGCCACATCGATCACGAAATGTCTGTTTTGGAGAAAAACTTTTAATACGGTTTAGATATTTTTTTTAAAAAATCTTATTCGATATCATCACTTTCAAAACGGGGATTCTGATTTTATGTATTTAAGAAAATAATTGGCTACTTTTAAGAACAAGAACAATCTACTTTGGGTAATTCAGGGACCTACAAAACGTGTAATTCTAAAAAAATAACCACTCCCTACTGCAGAACTTTCTTTATTTTCCGTACACAAGCAAGAAAAATGTGTGAAATAAGATCGATTGCAGGGTCGGGACCATTCATTGCAGATAGCTTAATTATAGTATGTCTTTCTTTAACTTTAACTAGAACCGAACTTTCTTAACTAACTAGAACCAAAAATAATAATTTTGCTATATTAGTTAATACATACCCACTGATAGGCACATGAAATACATATTAAAGGTTTACGGTTCTTTTATATTAAATGGAACACACAAAAAAGGTATTTCTCTCGTGAGAACGATAAGTAACATTTCCTTTTTGTTAGTCACAAGCCCCCGGAAAGTCTCGTACGAACAATATGGAATCGCTGTAGTGCGTCCCTGCAGCAACCTTGAATGAGAAACATTTGATTAGGTACACCGAGGCAGGGAACTCTGAATATCCCTTAAAGTTGGTACTGGCAGCAGTTCCCTCGCAGTTTGAATCTCGTCCAGGAAGCGTAACTTCGAAAGTTCTCGTGCAGAAGTGATCTAAAATAAGTTAAACTCTAGGTCACTCAGAAATATCCCGCACTTCGAGGAAGATGAAGAGGTGGGATTTCGACGAAGAACTCAAGACGGCCAGTGGAGCGTCAGCAACGGTGTCATTGGCGTTGGTAAAAAAATGATTTAATGGTATTCCTTCTGAAATGTGATGACAAGAGAAATTTAAATAACTACTGAAGAATTATTAGGTTTGGTTTAAAAATGTGTGAAGTTTAAGCAAAATAAAAAGTCTTTGGGACCACAGAGTGTAGGCAGGTGTACCGGAAAGGTCATAGCTCGCGTCAACGAGTAAGTCAGTTAATTCAAATAAACACTTTAAACTACTGATATTTGAAGTAGAAGGCACTACAAGATCGCGGCGAGAGCAAGACGCGCTCGGCATAGAAACTGAAGTGGGCGAAGGTAACAAGGAAACTCGCTGTTGCGAGGACAAGTGTCGCGAGAGATGTAGCAACTTTCGAGTGCGCCGCGGCGAAGACGGTGGCTTGAGGAGGGGAGTCAGCAGCGGCGAAACGTCAAACAGCAGCGAATTAAAGGGGGGATCAATGTGGCATTTTCCCTCTCGAACCAATGTTTTTGTAATTCGACTAAATGTAATCAAAGTAATTTATATATCATCACACCCAAAACGTGGGACGGATTCGATGATTTACCAGATAGCGTATCGGCGAGTTCGAACCCGACCGAAGACGAGGGCTTTTTAAGGGCGAAAAAATCCTGTTTACAGTCTCCTTTGGAAGGGAAGTAAAACCAGCTGTCCCATGTTGTAGGTTTGCTGTATGTGAAAGATCTTCAAGCCTAAAAGAAGCTTCTGAGATAAATTCGAATCTCCGGTTTCGTCGCCCGAGTAATACCTTGTTTCTTCGCTGAGTGGTAAAATTTGCTTGGTAAGACGGAAGAGCGGGCCTGATAGCTCACGTAAAATAAGTACTAATTAAAACAGTATTCTCATTGCGAATATACTTTTACTTTTTTATTCCAAGGGAATTTTTTAAAAAATTTCAAAAATACACATGTGAGTGAAAGATTCCCCTTGAAACACTTTCCGAATACGAACCTGCCTTTAGCAGTTCGAAGTCATAGGTTTTCGAAAATCTAAAACACACAATAAATGTGTAATTGGTCACTAGACAATAATTCAGCTAAAAATATTAATACCGGTCTACTTTACCTTCTGATTGCTACGGACATGTTGTCTCAATACGTATTTTTCCGCTTCTCTGCTATATTCAAATTGCACTAATAAGAACTCTAATTGTTAACCGGTTCCTACTCAACAAACTTTTAATTCTACTACTAGACTCTTACAATCATTCATACATAAGAGCCGTGAAAAAACAAAGTTCAGAATGAGTAGGGTAGCACACGGAGACTTTTATAGCGCATAAAAGCAACACCAGAGCGAGACAGCATTGGTTGCACAGTAGCGGCAAGTGAAGGTAACGGAAGTGTTAAAATTCAGAACATTTGAGTTCAATCGGAACTAATTTAAAGAAAAGAAAAAATAATGATTAACAATTTTAAAGGTAGAAGAGAAAGGCAAAATCATCCAGGAAGAGGTGTTGGTGGGAAGGGCGCTGGAAGAATTCCTAAGTAGCTGCGGAGGGGTCAATTAATTCCAAGAAGTACTTCGAACCGAACCTTGCGCTGCGGATGGAAGTTTTGGAAGATCGCGGAGAGCCGCGAGGCACGGCGCCCTACAACACGAAGTAGGCAACAAGGGAACCGGCGCGGCGCGGCGGGGCGGCTGGAGGGCCGAGGGATAACTTTCGGGTCAGACGCAGAGAGGGTGAGAGCGGAGGTGGGGGGGGGGGAATCAGGGCGAGGGCGAGGGTGAGGTGGGGGCAGAACGAAGGCGTGGTCGCGGTAGAGGGGAGCGGACACCAGCGAAGAGTTGGAGGTGTGGCGAAGTGGGGATGGGGGATGGCACGGAGGGAGTGGCGAGAAGACGGAGGCGGGGAAGGCAAGGGGTTAAGATGTAGCAGAGTGGAGCTGAGTGGGACGTGGTGGAGTTTGAAGAGGCAGAAGTGGAACGGGTTGAGTCGAGGAGCGGGGAGAGATGAGGAAGAGATGTTGAGGCCGAGAACTGCTGGGCGGATACAAGGAATGAGCGGGGGCATGGTGGCTGTAGGGGACGGGTCAGAGGTAGGGCAGGGCATACATACAACGCGGGGGGCGGAGTGGGGATGGAAGCGGGAACGACGAAGGTGTGTACGGGGAGGAGAATGACATGGGTCGGTCGTGGAGGGTTAGTAGGGCCTTGGACCGGGGTGAAGGGAACGGGGGTCGAGGGAATGGGCAAATGAAGGAGAAGGGACGGGGAACGAGGGTCGAGAGACAAGGGACGGGAACGTGGAACGAGAAATGGGGAACGGAGAACGAGGGACGGGGAATCGGGAGTGGTATCAAAGTGGGGGTGAGTGTAGGAACGTAATGGGGACATGAAAGGGCTGGACGGAGCGAGGTGACTAGAGAGGGGGAGAGGCGCGGTGGCTAAGGGGCATCGGGAGAGCGTGGGGGTGAGCCGAGGGCAGAGGTGGGAGCAGGGGCGTCAGGTGGGAGTACGAGTTGCCGGGCAGGGCGGGGCTGCCACGGCGAAGGCCGGTGGCGTGGCAGGGCGGACGCCGGGGGGTGGAGGGTGGAGGGTGCGAGGCGGGGCGGTGCGCGCCGCGGCAGAAGAGTGGAGCGCCCGGCGAATTTCTCGCGCCTCTCGAAAATTAGATCCCGCGCGCCGCCGGGGCCCAAACAACTCATTACGCCGCCATTAAAGTTTATCTTTGAGGCGCCGCGCCGGCCCGCCGCCGCAAGCTCAGGTGGCGGCGCCAAGGAGCAGACGTGCCCCTCAAGTTGCCGGCGCGTCTCCAGCGGAGAGGCAAATCTGACGGATGGGAATAGTTGCGCAACGCCCGTACTGGGTCTGCTGCCTCGGGTGACAATTTCAAAGGGAAAATTGTGGTATAAGCGCTTCATAATTTAATTATTGCTTCTCATAAACTTCAAGTCCAAAAATGTGTTTATACTATTGAAACGCGCCGTACTTTGTAAGTATAAATGCGGAAATAACTTCATACATGAACCCAACTTCCGTCTAGTCTTGAACTGTACGCAATATCAGTGCAAATACTTAAAAAACACTTTTCCGTTATCAGAGAACCCCAAAACGTATTTCCGTTGAAAATTCGAAATCGATTATCCGCAGCATTACATAACTTACTGTACACAACGTACTATGTAACCTGCCGAACATATGTGCTTTAGACGTTGCCTAACAATCAAGGGCAAATGTCAAACGTGCAACTTTTTTTACTTATTTAAGATCGCTTTTTAACTAATAAGGTCATTTGACTACTGTGAGTAACGTTGGGGGTAAGGGTAACGGTGTACGGACACAAGCAAATATCCATTCCCGAACGGGATTGGAACCCCCGAGGCACGAGGCAGCTACGGTTCTTCACTCTTAGCTACTTCTCCCCCCAGGACGGCTCGTGCAACTTTTATATGAACTTTCTCAGTACACGTTCTTTGGCAAAGCGTCTTTACACCCCCAAACATCTGTAACGTTTATTTTAATATTTTCTTAATTTTCCCATTCCTGACAATTTTTCACATTCACATCACATAATTATTCACATTTGCCAGATTGAGCGCGTATATTCGAACCCAAAAATCTGGTATTTTTTTCAAAAGTGAATCATGTTATCAAACAGTCACTAACGCTAAGTGTTTATGATATCTGAATTCTTTGTCGTTTTTGGTTCATACGTAAACTTTCTTGTGATATTAATTATACACGCAAACTGATATTTGCCAGAACATCTTAAGTCCAAGAGATTAAAAACTAACTCATGTTTAACAAAAACAACACTATAAATGTTAAGATAAAATTAATTTCCATATCAATTAAACCGTGTTTTTCGGATGAAATCAACGGAGGACCAAGCACACTATCGTAACACAAAATGGATCAAATGAAATGATGTCTTGCCACTATTTCACAAGAAGGGAGCAACGGACCACAAAGAAAGAAACTGAATGTTATTGCGAGCTCCACTGCTCCTGTTTCTTCCCGGTCAATTGCAAGTTAAGTACCCACCCCCCAGAGGACATCCACTTCTTGACTTCTTTTACTGCACTTTCCTAAATCTCTTCCACTTCCTGAACCTTCTTTCCCTGATGAATCGACCCCCCATGTCTTTCTGACTGACCCCCTGGAGACAGCGGTTCGTTGTCTTTGCAAGCCCCCCCCCTGCTGTTCCCTCAACGTTTTCACCAACCCCACTCACTTTTCGAGCCGTTACCACTAGTTCTGCTCTCTCGACCCTTCACCCTCCCTCCGCGCTCTTTCATCTTCCGCCGTCTTCCTCCCCCTCCACCTTCTTCCCCACCGCCACTCCCCGGCAGAATCCCGGCGCCGTAAAGGCGGCCGCGTTGTGGGCGGGGCGGGAGGCGCGGAGAAAGTTAAAACTTGCGCCAAACGCTTCTTGCGCTTCGCTCCCCGTTTGTTGCCTCCTCTCCCGCTGGCACCTCCGGCGCGACCGGGAGGGCAGCAACGACCACGCCCGGTGCGGAGATTGCTCGATTCGTGCTGTCGTCGGGCTTTGCAATCCTCTTTTGCAAGTAGTTGCCTGAGATTCCTGGATAACTAAATGCTTCTAAAGAGCAAGAAGCTCTTTCCACTGAAATAAAAATGCGGCAGTTGCGTCGCTTTTTCTCAATTTATGTTTCGATTTTTCGATTCATTACTACACATGCAAGATGTGATAAGACACTTCACATAAAATTTATCGGCGAAGTTCATTTTCAGAATAACCCAAGAGGAATTTTTAATGACGGTACAGTAAAAATACATTTGTTTGATTGATGTTTCTTTGCACGTCAACCGCTATGGTCATTAGTCCCATTAGTGAAGTGAATGTTATACCCGAGATGTACTGGGGTGCCTCTCCACCACGTAAGATGTACAGCCGACCTTCAGGTCGGTTTTTCGAGATCGTTCCCTCTGCAGATATCTCCGGCGAGGCACCGCTCCAGTAGAGATGCATTGAGCTTCTGACATGTGTGGCAGTATAGTGCATTTAATTGAGTAAAGAGAGAAGATAGGACGAGGAAGAAGAAAGAAAGATCACGCACTCTCCGTGGTCTGATCGAAAGGGTACTGCTCCGGCATTCACCGGATATTGATGGGGAAAAAACATTGAAATAGAAATTGAGGTGCAAAGGCAAAAAAAAACACACCGATCCCAACCCACAGCTATAATTCTCCTCAAACATCACCTAGTTACCACCTAGATATTTAGCTAGACAAAGCTCTTTATGGTATTCCTTAAGTCACGAAGATCCTTCACACTGAATGTAAATGTATGGGGCAAGGAGTTAACTGTTTCAAATAAAGTGAGGAAATCAAATATTCTCATTAAAACCCATAAAAGAGTGCTGAATTGTTTTCAACAAACTCGTACAACCAAAATAAAAGTGCTCTCAAAGTCTTCTAACATTGGCCCCGACTCGCCCCCAAAACTCCTCCCCGGGGCCGCCGCGTGTCGCGCGAGACAACTGCCGCGCGCGGCGTCTGGCGCTTGTTTCGCGCGCAAATCCTTCGTACGTAATTGAAGCGCGCAGGGCGTGAGGGCGCTGTAATCCCGCGCCCGCCGACCCTTTGCCGCGCTCGGAGAGTTTGTTAATTGGCGGCAACTGCAGCTTCTGAAGCGACCGCCGGCGCCGCCACCCACGCACCCGGCCCGCGCACGAGCCAAATAAAAGGTCGCTCGCCCACTTTTGTAATTTGGCGCTTTGACCCTTTCGCCTCTGATAAGAAATTCTTGGGTTGGATGTTCGCGAAACGAGCGCGTATTAAAATAAATCCTCTTGTTGGAGCGACCGTGAAAGGTGGTGGGGAAGGGTACGCTTTTATTTTGTTTTGTTGGTAGATGGAAATTTCCGTGTAATTAAATATTTTAAGTTGTTACATATTCTGAAAGACGAAAGTTGTGATCCTTCATTCGTAAGCGTTACTTCTGGTTGTTGAATAATTTTTGTCGGAAATGGGAAAAGCTGCAACACATAAGTTGGCACTAATTAATAACCAAGATAGGTTTAATACTGATTTTCTAATATTTTTCATAAAATATTCAAATCTCACAATCTTAAATCATACTTTTCTGCTCATGTTTGATTCTTTCCGAGCTTGTCCATGTAATGTCATTAACGCCATTAGTGTATGAATGTTTTACTTGACTGGGGGTGTTCCTTTCTCGCTGAATAGCGTGATACAGAGCCGAACTACACGTCAGGTCAGCGGACACCATTCCTGCCAATGCACGATCTCAACTCCAGACTGATCCTGACTGTGTGGTAGTATAATCCCTATGTGTATATGAGCAACATATAGTAATATGTATACAGCTATTGTCGAAAATCCACCACCGTAGAGTTTTGATGCCTAGGGCCTACCGGTCTGGGTCGCTATAGAAAGGTCAGAGCAAGCATTTCCGTTTTAACTCAATCAACTGTTTGAATCTTCATCTCGAATAACCAACCACAAAAAAATTTTAAAATATTATCTGTTTATACAAAATCTCGATTCTATGAAAATGATACCCATGATTGGTAGACAAGA